GAATTTAGTCTGCACCAAACAAAGGATTAGACATATAACACTAATTGTTGACTAGCGACCGATCAAAAAATACATATACATATATATGAACCAGGGGGTACTGGAGAACTATTTCGTCCTGGTTCGGGAGTCATCGGAATAACACACCCAACGGATTTCGAAGCCAATATCTTCCAGTTATACGGGTACACCTCTTTGGTCATTCTGTCAGTAGGACACGACTCAGTGACAAGTGATTTTGCACTACCAATCCGTGGTTTTGGCACCACACTGGCAAAAGCCAGTGTCATTGACGGCGAATATTTGTTCTCACTCCCGCCAAACGGAATGAATCCCACTGGTTACTACATCTCACTAGAATTCCATGCAACTTCATCCTCCATGTTTCAGGACTGGATTACACTGAATCCTAGTTTGGAAATAGGGAGTGGAGTGGTAGACCATATTGACCGCTTCACTTATTTGGCGAGTACCATCAACCCCAACGGGTTGATCTCTGACGAAATCTCAGTACGGATACAATTTCACATATGCCAGTTTATGCTGTCTCTGGCATAGACGTGATATCCTGCTGGCTATCAACCAAAGGGCGGGTGTACTGCTCATCAGTCCAGTCCGTCCACCTTTATGGCTGTGAGCGAGACCTGGCCATTGAGAGTGGAAGACATGAAAAGATTAGCTGTCTTTGATCATAGGTGCCTGCCTTCTATCTCCCGTGTGAAGTGGTATAATAAGGTGAGCAATATTGAGGTTAGGCTTGAGTCGAGTGCTAGGTAAGAAGGGAGGGGAAATCAATCGACGAGGCTGTGAAGCTACATCGACTGAGATGGTTAGGAAATGTGTTACGAATGTATGCCTAGTCATCGATCGTCTTCCTCGACGGTCAGTGTTAGCTGATATAGGATGGATCAGGCTGGAAAAGAGCTAGCAGCAGCCAAACTGAAACAAGGCCTAATCAGACAATGAAATCCACAACAGTTAGTTTAAGCCAGCCACGTAAGATGGTGCAGACTTCCTAATTGGGGTCTTCAGGACGATAAAAACCAATGGTTGGAAACAATTGGTGACATGGCTCAAAATTTTTCCCAGTGGCGCAGATGCATACACTCCTTGTGACTTATGACTTCCAATGAAACTTTATTGTTTTTCATTATTTCTATTCCTTTGTTTCATACCTCTGTTTACTGTCTCTAATATGCATTTCTTCTACTTTCTTCTCTTGACTTGTGTGCTACACGGAGTGTGGCGACTTGAACTAGTGCACATCGGTGCAAAGTTCTATGCTGAAAACGGACAGACAGGCAGCAACTTCAACCTGCAGCTAGTCACTGGCAACGCATCAGATTCATTTCGAAGAGATGGTTTGTAGGGGTCTGATTTGTTTCAAGTTTGATCTAATTGATTTCAATGTGTGACCAAATCTGAAGTCAATTTAAATTGTAAAATGAATAGATGCACCTAGGGTGGTTCATTGGACCTGGTCAGGGTTCTGTTTACAACCAATGAAGCCAGAAACCTCAGTCAGGCCTTTGTAAACTTAGCAAAAATGAAAGGTTAGACATGAGGCTGGCGAGACTACGGTTACTGAAGCTTTCAAGCTCAAGCTTGAAGCTCTATGCCCTATGCAGAACTCAACGGTATGAAAAAAGACAAAATAAGCAAACAAAGTAACGTTTTCATTTGTCAGTGTGTTCCAGTTAAATTCTAATGGATTCGACTCAGACCTTAAACTTGTAACTGCAAGTAGATTTCAAGTGTTGACAGTCTGCAGGGGTTTCACTGATTTCTAGCTGCCTATTGGACAGCTGTTTCCTACCGGTTTGGGACTTCTCTACAGTTAGCATTCATCACCCCATCGAGGATCAAACTTAAGACTTGCGAGTTACGAGCTATTGGGGAGTTATTCGATGGCCTATGAATTCTAACGTCCAATAATTCGCATTTTGACAGGTTGGATGTGTCATTAAAATAACAAATGAATCACATGATGAGAGTTCGAATTGTACGTAATAACGTCAAGAGTTGCGCTGAAGCTGTCATTTAGTAGGACATTGAAAGCTATGCAATTTAGAAGAATCCAGTTCAAAGAACACACTATGATTAACCCGTGTAATGGGAAAATCTGTTTCATAAGGACGTTACTAAGGCAAACAGACATCATTACGGAGCCTTATGCATATATCCTTGTATTTTATTGATAAATGCTACTTATTACCTGTAATGGAAATACGATCACTTATTGGAACACAGACACTTGGAAATGGTGGCAGTAGGGGCTGGTTAAAAGGAAATGACACCAGTATTATGGTTCTCATTTAGATTCCCACCATTTCATAAATAACAGGTAAATAAAGCCTACAAATACTATAATGAATATATATGATGAATAAATTTTGTTGCATGAACTCAACTACATTCGAACAACTAAAATTTGGCTCAATTTTCCATTGGTTGATAACTCAACTGGATCAAAAAGCTTGGCCATTAGTCTCTGTTGTCATATTGCCTCTTAAAACAAAACTTTCAACCATGTCTTGAGATGAGCATGATGTTAAATTGGTGAGTGGTCAAAAGCAGTAGAAACCAGGGCGTCCACTTCGCCTTGTCTGAGAGTTGTCAGCTGAGTGAACATGCAAGATTCTAAAGTTCTTGATTCCCCTGATTTTCATCAGCGACAGGGAGAGAATCAATAAAGGTTTATAATTTCCTATTCAATAAACAAGTGTATGAACTATTTCCTCGTTGTATTTAAGAATTACATGGCGAAAAATGATCTAGGTTTGACCATAGATTAATAGCAGCTTCAGATTCACTGGAAATCAGAAAGTATCGGATTGCCATTTCGTTCTAATGTAGGGCTCCTGAATGGCAAAAGTCTATGGTCTCTACAGGTCATTGAAACCAGGATCTTCAAGTATGGGGATCCTCATGTTTCAGTTGCTGAATGATCAGCGGATTCATCTTGTGAGTTAAAGGTTTGGTTTACGATTCCTCAAGGGGTTATAAATGTACGTTTCTGAAGAGTCGCAGACTTGAACGAAACAGCTCTACGATATTTCCGGTTCTACAGCTGATTTTAATTGAAATCAATGAAGTCTCTGCAACTTAACACTTACAAAAGGGAGTCAGCAGAAAATAGTAAGTTGTTACGAAGAAATGTAAAGACCTGGCTTGCATGCGAATGATAACAAGCAACCTGACAACTTCATCATTAGACAAACAAGTGAATATTTAACAGACGAACAAAAAGAAAAATATGCTAAGTTAACTTCCACCTAAATAGGAATAGCATGGAAGACTTAAAAAACTGAGGGAGATTTCCTTGCAAGAGGTAACAGTGGAGGAACATGCAAAAGAAAGTAAGTTGTCATGGCCTGCATTTAAACCACTTCGACGGCATTTGTTACTACTATTCTCACGCTTATGTTATTCGTGATTGTGGTGTGGAGCGAAATGGCAGGCATACACTGGAGCGAAAATGAAGGCGGTAGAGGATTTAGATTTCCCAGTGGATTTATGTTGGATGTTACACACACAGAAAGATCTACATATGAAAATCGAACAGGTGAGCAGAAGAGGCAAGGAGGGAAGACAGGTATTCAAGGGAAGACACAGAAGACAGGAGTGATGATGACAACTAACCGACAACAACAACAACAAGCACCAGTCAGTCTCAGAGGGCTGTTTCACTAATTCAGGCAGTATCGTTTCAACAACAAGCGGAACAGATGAAAAGGTCAAAATTGGCAAGGATCGAAGGGTGATACATAATTTTATTATTCTGAAATTAGTTTTGAAATCTGCTGTACTCGGATCCAAGCAAAAGATTCAGATTTTAATGGTCAGTTATACCAGGTCACTGATTCCTTATGTAGATATCATAGAGAAGATTTTTAGCTCAGGTGAATGATTTTAATGTATTTGTGTTCTCTGAGCTGGATAGGTAATTTGTGAAGCCTACATCACCCTACTAGGCGACATCTTCAGAGCATACTTCAATCCACTCCCTCATATTACTACATACAGACAACCACAGACATCAATTCGACTAGGACAACCAACGTTCAAATACTAGACAGAGGAAACACCAAGAATGCTAGAGAATTTTTAGAAGCCCATCTGGCATTCCAGTGAATCATCAATCAATAGACACATCAATAAAGACAAAATTTATCAACCGATTAGAAAGAAACCTCACACACAAAAGTTGAAGTCAAAGAAATAATCAGTTCCAATACTAGTAACCTAGATGGTGTGAAAACACACAAAAACAACCAATCATGACGTTGAAGGTCACCCACCAGAAGAGATGATTAATAAACTCGTGGAGAAATCTAAAAGCTCACTTCAATTGGAATTTAAGTATGCACTGAAGACGTAGCCTAGTAGGGCAGTGAAAGCTTCGCAAATTAACTATCCAGCTTAGAGAACACAACCACATAAAAAAAAAGATTCCGTATATGTTCCACAAATTTGATTCGTATATTGCTGGCAGCATTTGCAACAAGCTAGCGCAGACTTTTTTTCAACAGATAGGTGCCTTCGATACTGAAGACCAAGTGGTTGGTCAGTAAGCATTAGCAACCATCAATCACCCCACAAACACTCCGAAGGAAACGTGGACGGATTAGATATACACTTAGGTGACTGGTAAATGATATCACGCATTAGGTCGTTGAGTCGAACCAGAAAGGGATATGACGAGTTGGGTGCGCCTCCAAGGGGGACATAGATTTTAAGAAAGGAAAGGAAAGGTTATGGGCAGTCATGAAGTCATCTGAAAAAATTGCAAACAACAAGATGAATTAGAGATGTGCTGTTGAGTTCCTATATCCCACTCGAAGTTCAAGAAAATAGGAATAGTAAAGTGCATATATGTATGCATATATAACATGCTCTTAACATTCATTACATATGTGTATACATTTGGAACACACACACACACACAAAGAACATATATATCTATATCTATGTATATATATACAATCCTTCAAACAAACCGCTTTCACCTTGAAAAGTAAAACAAAATATACAATTGAGCATTGAACAATTGAAACAAGTTTTCTTCTATAGTCAATTATTGCATTACTACAACTACTACTATCACAACTACAATTTATGTGATTGCAAATAAACATAGAGAGAAACAGAGAAGCAAAAGAAACAAGTTTCCTTCAGGTACAGGAAAAATTCACGCACACAGTCTCAGGAACTGTTTTTTTTGTGTTTTCTTTTTTTTTCACAAAATGCACCACAGAACTAGTACTAACAACTAGTACAGTGAATTGAATACAGCGAAAAACAAATTTGACTAAATAGACATCAATGTAATGTAGGAATAATAATAATAATAGTAATAATATAACAAGAATACAATTCTAAATTGTATTGTATCAAATGAATCTATGATATGTGACTACAGTATACACCTCTGCTTTCCAAATTGTATACTAATTGTTTACCTACCTGATTAGTTGAGTAGTCAAATCATATGCATTAGAACTAGAAGAACTGGAGAAATGTTATGAAAAACGCAAATTTAGTTATTATGAAATAATGAAGAGGAAGAAGAACAAGCTTTATAGCATTGATCTCTGAAGTCGATGCTTCAACCGCGAAGCCTACTCAATGTTTTTAAAGAAGTGATACCCTTCAGTGCAGGTATAAAATATTGTGAAGTGTACTTTCTCCATCAATGAAATATCTGATTTTCGGGATTCTTCAGCGATGCACAACTGCCGGGGGTCGAACTCACTAGCGACTGGCCCTTTACCGATAGGTATTTACCCAGATTCTATTGAAAAGTCTTAACTATTGCGGTATGGGGCAAGTACCTGTAGAAGTTGAAGTTCATTGGCGATTGGATTGGGTCCTAGTGAACTGATGGTCTACAAGCTCTCTTCTTGTTACCGGAAGCACCCGGGTTCGAAGCCTGGTGGTGGGTACAAACTGATAAAAAGTCCCAAACCAAGAGGAAACAGCTGACTGCCCAGTACTTCTGGGTTTCCTGAAGGTTTTCTCATGATGACTCTGGGTAGCCAATCATTTCCCTGTAATGTAATTGGATTATATGCCCTTTCAATGATTGAGATTATTTCGCTAACCCGAAATTTAACCATCTGATAGTGTTTTTTCATTGGCTTTTATTTATGGTTAAATATAATCAAATATATTCACAATTGGTAATTGCAGACTAATCTGATCACGAAGCCCACAAGATATCTCTTGCATTCCTCGTGTTCCCTCTTTACATTTTAGGTTGTTTTCACCGTAGGGAAAGAATTCCAAAAGCTCATTTCACTACGAAGTTAGCTCTGAAGATGCTGTCCAGGAAGGCAATGAGACTATCTTAGTTGAACAAAATTCAGTAAAGAACACCAAAAGAATAACCAAAATTATCTTTTCATATAAATAATGCTTTAGGACAATAAATAATAATAATAGATATTTTCTATGAATAAAATAAAGGCAATTTTATTATTATTATTATTATTGAATCATATTTATTTACCTACCGTGGAATTTTTGCAGGTAATAACCACATTGTAGGCGATGTGTCCGTTAGACCAATAATCGGTGTATCAGTTGATTGTACACTGGGAATTTTTTGTTGATTTTGATTGAGGGTAAGTAGACTATTATTAGTTGTGGGTGAGTGGATTTGACTAAAAGCCTGAAATTTTGGTTATTCATAAAGAAAGAAAATACTATAACAGTGTTAAATATTTGATAGAATTCATGTGTTGTAATAAAGTATTCTAAATTCTCAGCATTTCAAAGCCTTGAAAGAGCTACGGAAGAATTCTAATATAATTATTACGAAACCTGATAAACCTGCTTTGCGAGTTTACTAGTTCAGCGGTTAAGTGGACAGTGTTAAGTATAGAAAAAACGAGAGAGAGACAGAGAGGGGATTGGGCATGACACTGCCAACGTAGTCTCAGAAAATCAATCTAACAGTTAAATTATCTTCAAAAATCAGGAGAAGCCTTATCCTAAAGGATAGGAATCACGTTTGAAGAAGGCGGTTTATATGTGAGATACACTTTTTTTTATCAATAGGATATTTTATACTTCGCGGATATTTTTTCGGCATCCTGTGGCTTTTCAGAATATATTTTATGGAGTAGATGTTATCCCTTAAATCCCCTTGATTCCTCAAGGAACAATGATTCTAATGATGATGATGATGATGATCGCAGCTGGAATTCAATTTAACAGCCGGTGCTTTCTGCCAAGGGATTCCGCTTTAATTTGCCCAGTGGTATGAAAGAAACGGATACTGATATTTTTCCAATGGAAGATTTCATGCCATACTACGGTGATATCACGAAATGGGTTGATTTGGAGCCGTTTGCTTCCCTGATCAGTCGTGGTTCGAACGGTGTTGGTGTCCATTTGGTGTTTGCAAATGAGGTGAGTTGAAGGATAGATAACTGCTTCACATCACTTTTCATAGCAACAGTATTATTGATAATAATAATAATAATAACAATGATAATATTGATAGTATACTTGTATTGATGAAGGCATTCATAGTTATTTGTTAGACAGATCGATGAGGTTTACTTTGCGACCATGAGCTCGATAAACTGTGATGTAAAAAAATATACGTGAATAGGAATTTCATAAATCGAGCAGTGATTGTAGTACACACTGTGGGAACGTGTTGTTAGGAATGTCATGCAACTACTTCTACTGTTCCCTCGCTTCTTTACGGCGTCGATCGATTACTCAAATGATCAGTCAGTATTTTTGATTCGACACTAGTCAGTAACTAGTGTAGTGTCTCTAGTCCTATCTCCGGTGCAGACTGAATTCTATCAGTCAAGTTTTCAATGTGGCCACCATGCTAGGTGGCTCGCCATCACTGTGTACTGTGAACTGTTGGTATTAGTTGGTTGGAGGCAATCGGCAGGAAGCTTTGAACCTAGATTTCGTGCCAGTTTGCACCACTCATCAATCAGTAAGGCGTATGTGCAACCTCGAAGGAACTCGTGTCCCTTAGTCAAATGTCTAAAGAACCGAGCAGTGGCACTAAGTAGTACAAGAAAAGACCTAACTGATGAAATAAAACTGATAGAAGAAGCGTTGGTGTTAAGTAACTGTCCTATAAGACTCACTAGGAAGATCAGAAGGGGTCAGAATAAAAATAATAGTGAAACTAATAGTGACAACATAACAGCCATCCATTTTGAGTTTGAAAACTTATATGACCACCCCAAACCTTTTACCTCAAACATTCGATGAGGATCGGGTAGGTTTAAGGTCAATGTGGTTGATATAGCTCACCAGTTTTTAAACAACAATCCAAAGAAGAAAAGTATTCTAAATTCCCAGTATTTCAAAGCCTTGAAAGAGCTACGGGAAAACTCTAATATAACCTGATAAAGGTTCTGGAGTCGTCATTATAAATAAAAGTGACTACGAATCTAAAACGGTGTCTATTCTTGATGATAAAAGCAAATTTAGCCATGATCCCTTGCAGCACGGCACAGTGACAGCTAATCTAGTGAAGCTTCATGGCCTTAATGCTATAAGTAAAGATAAAGTTGACTCTTTAAAACCATCAGAATGTAAAATTACTGCATACGTATGGTTTGCCAAAAATACATTAACCCAATAATCCTCTGCGTCCTATATTGTCAATGTGCAAAGCCCCGACGCATAAACTTGCTCAATGGTTAGCAGATCTATTGCATCCAGTCAGAGTACAATTCTGTAAGTATATGTTAAAAGATACATTTGAATTGGTTAATTTCCTTGACGATATTATTATTATTATGAATAAGAATATGTACTCTTTTGAAGTAAACTCGTTATTCACTAATGTGCCTTTGTTCAAAACAGTTGACATTTTGTGTGAGTACATTTCCACAAACAATTTTTTCATCCCGTTCCCTATTTCTTATTTAAGGGATTTATTACTTCTATGTACTAACAATGTTAGGTTTACATCTGAAGGCGATTGTTTCCGCCAACTTGATTGTGTTGCTATGGGAAGTCCGTTATGGCCCTTTTTAGCAGATATTTACATGTCGTACATTGGGAGTTTTCGGGGGATTTAATCGAAAATATACCACTTTATAGGAGATATGTAGATGATATTGTAATCATCAGTGATATTTCTAGTTCTGCCACCCCAATTTTAAATCGAATGAATGAAGTTCAGAATAGCATATCATTAACATCTGTAGAAGAGAAAGATAATTGTTTATCTTTCCTAGACATATTGCTTAGTCAAAGGCTTGATGGGTCAATAAAAAGATCTATTTATAGAAAGCCTACCTGGATAGGGCAGTATCTTAATTATCACAGTTTTTGCCCTATTCAAGGTAAGATAATGTCAACCTTAGGCGTAGAGTGTTGGGGAAAGAGGGAAAATCAATCGATGAGGCTATAAATTTACATAGATTGAGATGGCTAGGTCAGGCGCTGCGCATGCCTAACCATCGCCTCCCTCGACGGGCATTACTAGCTGATATAGGTGCTGGTTGGAAAAGAGTAAGTGGTGGCCAAACAAAAACATGGCCTCATCAATCCATGAACTCCTTGACAGTTAAAGTCAGTCAGGTAGGGAGACGCAGACTAGCAGGACTCTAGGAATCAATGGCTGGAGACAATAGGTGACATGGCTCAAAATCGTTGTCAATGGCGCAGATGTATTCAGTCTCCGTAATCTTTCATATTCCTTTCTACCATTACTCATTCTCTTTCAAAACTCTATTGATTCGCGTCACTCATCTTCTTGTCTACCTCTGTGTGCTGTTTGGAACCTGGCAACTGGAACTGGTGCACTTCGGTGCCAAGTTCTATGTTGAATCCAGATAGACAGACTTCCCTATTCATTACAAAAGAGCCTTAGTAAGGTTCCTCTTCGAAAGAATCCAGTCAATATGCACTGAAGACACACTTGATGAAGAAGAAAGAAAGTTGACACAAAGTCTGGTTGATAACAATTATCCAGACAAGTTCATCAAGAGATATAAACTAGTCAGTGGAACACCAAGACCCACTCTCCAACTCGCCAACAAGAATGACGTGTACATCAAGCTATCGTATATGGGGCATCAAGGCAGCTTGATAACTAGATAAAGACTGAATGCTGCTGTTAAGAAGACTTTTTATGCAGCTAATATCATAATAATAGAGAATGTAAAGCCAATATATCTATCTAAGCCCTTCGAACATGCGAAGAATGATGTCACATCCCACTGTATTTACCAATTTGAATGTTCGTGTGGACACACATACATATGGAGGACTCATCGATCTCGGTGAGTAAGGGCTGGCTTCAGAGCATATACCTAAGTGGCTCCAGAAACAAATGGAATCTGTAGAACCGATAAGCGGTGAGAACAGGAGACCTAACTCTTCTATTGCGAAACATATGATAGAGACAGGACATAAAATTGACGTTAACAAATCTTTTAAACCTATCTATAAAACGCGTTTGAGGCTTATCCTAAAGTTTGTAGAAGCCCTAGCAATTAGAAATTTCAAGCCACCTTTATGCGTTCAAAAACAATTCGTCATCACATTAAACCTTCTTTGGTAAATTTTGTTTTGATACATACCAGGGTAGACGTATTATTACCTCTGCTATTTGGTTTAGTGGTCTTCATTGTTATTTTAACCTTGAATATGTCCTTTTAACTTGACCTAAGTGGTCTATTTTGTCAACTCTCACCTCTTTAATGATTTCATGTATATTCCTATGACAAGACCGTGTGTGATGAATGAGATTGTTCGCAATGTTTTGCGCAAATACATTACACTATTCAGACAAATTACGTCTTCTTATCGGTTTATCTAAATTCATAAAGGGAACGAAGTGTTTTAAATGTCTTAAATAATACTACAGTTAGAAAACACTAGTCTGTGCATTCACATACATAAACTTTAGGCGTCGTACAGATGTATGATAATAACTGTTTCTAAAAATAAATAGACACCTGAATTTTTAAAATATATTTATCGTATAATATGGAACAAGCTGGGGTTTATCTTAAGTAGTTTTGAAAACATTTGGCAATTCATATATAACTGAATCAGATTGAGCAAAGAATATCCTTTTCGATAAATTCCTCTATATAGACAAATCGACGGTGTGGTAATAAGCTCACCACTAGGATCCATTATAGTCGAGATTTTCTTTGCGAAACTAGAAAATCGACCTTTGAAGGATGTTATTAATTAACTCGAAATCTATTGTCGGTACACATGGATGGTACATTTTTGATTGTGAAAAATGAGAAGGAAGCAAGAAGCATCTTGCATAAATTTAACGAAGTTCATCCTGCAAAGCGTTTTACTGTTGATAAAGAGAGATACTCTAGTATTCCATTTCTAGACGTCCTTATGATCAGAAAAGAGGATGGCACAGTAAGAAGTAGTGTATGTGGAAAACCTACGTCAACTGGTTGTCAGTATACTCATTTTCTCTGCTTTGTACCCTTGAAATACAAACACAATTTGATAAAGTGCTTGGTTCCCAGAACAAAAACAATCTACTCGGAGGAATGTCTTGATGAGGAACTTAATAATATCAAACGGTTGCTGAGTGAAAATGGTTATCCTGAAAAGTTTATTGATAAGAATATGAATCTAAAATCAAAGCAGCTAAAGTTATCAACAGTTCCAAAAAAGGCGTTATTCTTACAAATGCAGTTGCTTGAGGACAGCATCAGCGAGATATTAACACAGCGCCTTAGAAATGCGGTAAAAAGAGCATTCCCTGCTGCCGAATTACGCTGTATCTTTAAAACCACTCCTCTTTTGCGCTCGGGAGTAAAAGACAAACTGCCTAATTTCGCCTCTTCCACATGTATCTGCCAATCTAACTGCTCCTGTGGAGCCAGTTAAATAAGCTGTAAAATTACACGTGTTTCTCGTCGAATTTCCGAACATCACCCTGGGTGGTTAAGCAAAAGGGCAAACCAAATTTATTCGCAGCGCTATTCTGTTTCATCTTGTGGATACAGAACACAAGATTGATGTTAACCAGCCTTTCAGGGTTATTTACACCATACCTAAGGATCTCAATTACGCCTTAAGAGTTTGACTACCTAATATTGCTGAGGCTGTGGGGATTTGTGCATCCAAAAGAAGTTAGTTCAGACATTATCCTTATCGCTTGGCCATCTAGGTATGAATGATCGTGAATTTTTGTGAAATTTTCCAAATCTTATTTGATAATCTATCTGCTACTATATCTTCATTATTATTATTATTATTATAATTTAAGCATCTTTAATGAACTGTGCTGATTCCATTATGATCTTAGTCAATAAATTGATATTACTTAAAAAAACACTAATAGTAATATTTCCAACAGCCTGTTGCAGACCTTTATCAACAACTGTCTTCGCTCTATACTGATGACTAGATGGCCGGGCCGGAAAGAATCACCAACTATGGGAAACTATGGGAACAGACAAAACAAGAACCAATCGCCCAACACATATGCAGGAGAAAGTGGAGATGGATTGGACACTCTCTGAGGAGGCCGGTTGTTGACATCGCGCGCGTATCAGGCCCTCAAGTGGAACCTGAAAGGGAAGCGGTGAGTCAGTCATCAGTGCAAGGGTGACTTGGAGGAGGTCATGTGAAGAGGAGGTGAAAGCGTTTAGGCATGTGGGCATGTGCAGCCAGGTGGAAATGCTGGCAGAGAATCGAACGCAATGGAAACGTTGAACTGATGCTCTGTGTTCCTTTAGGAATTAAAGAAAATAATAATAATGTCAAAGAGGTTTTCACAATCGCCTTATCAAGAACTAATTACCTTTTGATTCAATGTTAACAAGGAATAAGGTGTAGTATTAGGCCAATTTTGTAGTTGAATTTGTTGTTTCAAAGTTTCTACATCCAGTGGAATTGTTGGTATTGCTGGACTTGGTTGTTGTGTTGTAGACTGTTGACCAACTGTCTGTTGAGCTTGATGCAGTCTTGTCTGTTGATTTTGTTGATCGTGAAGTGTTGTTAAAATATTATAAGTTAAATTAGGTATCAGCGTTTGAATTGCTCCAGGTTGAGCAAGGCTTAATACATTCGGAATAGTAGATGTCAGATAATTACCGGTTGGTGTTAACGAACCTGTAGAATTCAAATAACCTGTTTGCGGATTATAAGCAAAACTTAATGGACAAGAGGGTTGAAGGTTTACATCTGATTGGATACCGATTTGTGGAAATCTGATCAATGGTGTGGAATGACCTATATATAAGTTGAAATACAGAAAAAAATAACGATACGCATCAAGTGAATCCACACTATTAAAAAATAGGAATAATTAACTTTTATTTTTATTGGACACTAGTAACTAGTGTGATGTGTCTAGTCTTTTATTTGGTGCAGACTGAATTCTATCAGTCAGGCTTGCAATGTGGCCACCTTTCTAGGTAGCTGGCCATCACGGTGCACATTGATTTGATGATATAAGACGGTTGGAGGTAATCGGCAGGAAGCCTTAGACCTAGGTTTCGTGCTAGTTGGCATTCATCAGCAAGGAGTATCTGCACCCTTGAAGGAACTCATGTGCATTCTGAGATTCGAACCCGCGTCACCCAGTGCTGTAGTCAGAGACCTTACCACTGAGCTATTTGGGCTCTTGATTGACCTCCTGTAGGACTGTAGTGGGTGTTTTCATAGGACACTAGATAGATTCTCCTACTTTTTTTTTAGATAAGATAAGCTTTATTCCAAATCAGTACTTGTGATACAGAATGGAATTCTCAGCATTTCACTACATACAGTATTGCATCCAGTTAGTACATTAACAATAAATAAAGTTCTACATAGATTAAAGTTATCTCAGTCAGTTTTGACAACAACATATTGGCATGTTGGTAGCAAAGCCAAAATTTAAACAGAGTGATTGAAGGTGTTAGAAAAGTAGATACTACTAGCATATTTACTGGCGTAAGCGATAGCAAAATGGTCGAGATATACAGAGTGCGAAAGAACGAACAAGAATGTTTTAAGTAGAGTTTGTAAGGAAAAGAGAAACAAAGCAGCACATAACAGAGAAAAAAACAGAGAGAAAAGGAAAAGAGAGAAAGAAAACGCTGTATATATATATATATGATATGAGTTGGAAAGACGAGATCCAGTTTTTCTACTGACTATTTAATAAGTTAAAGGTTTCACGCCTAATGCTTTCTTTATCGCACAGAACTCGAGCTACGTAGGGTATGGATGAGTTTTTGTACTTGCTAGTGCGGGCATATAGTTTCCTATATAGGCTTCTGGTTTTCCCTGAAGAGATACATGGGGAGAGTTGTGAATGTAGAGGGTGTTGTGAGTCAGATAAAATGGTTTTTGCCCATTTTTCACATGAGTCCATGCGCCTTGTCCATCAGAATGTTAATGAGCTGGCTAAGTGGCAAATTGCTTACCCTGCTGACAACCTTTAACATCCTACGTAATAAGGTATAGTCTTTCTTCAATAGCCCAGGAAAGACTAAGGGGGAACAATAGAGAATAATAGGAAGAATACGGAAGTTAACAAATTGTAGGAGTAAGGGTTGGGTTACACCAGAAAGTCTTAACTTCTTGATGTAGAAGGTAAGACGGAATATTTTCTTAGAAATCGTCAAGATATGAGACGACCAGGAAAGATCAGAAGATGGAGTGACGCCTAGGTATTTATCTTCCGACTTGGTTTCAATTTCAGTGCCATCTATGTTGCACATCTCATGAGTCCTAACCAGTTTGTTTAGGTCAGATTTGTGCCTAAAGGTGAAATTAACTGTTTGGCATTTGGAGGGGTATAATGTGAGACCGTTTTCCTTGGATCATTGGCTGATTTCTGATAAGAAGCCATTTAGTTTAGAGCAGTCACTTTGACATTTGACAGGTAAAGATACAGTTAGGTCATCAGCATATTTGACAAAGTTAATGTCATTTGAAGATGGTAGGTCATGTAGAAAGAATGAAAAGAGAAGTGGGGAGAGTACAGCCCCTTGGGGGACACCAGCTTCAGTGAGCAAAGCAGAGGAGGATTCGCCTTTGAATACGGTGTACTGCGTTCTGTTTGAAAAGTACGAATGCAACCAGTTAGTGACCCAGGTCTCGGTTTGTGTCATGGAGAGCTTATTTAGTAACTGATGTGACGTATTTGATGCTTTCTTCGGCGCAGACTGAATTAATTTGCCACCCTAAGGAGCTCAAGAAATGGACCTGACGATCAGCATCAACCACCTTATATCTGTTCAATGTACATTGCAATGATTAGTCACATTTCATACAGTCGGTTAACTTTATTAGTTTGAATAAATGAATGGACAAACATATCTGCAGGAGAATACCAGCTCGTTTTATTTTGCTGGATGCACCTTAACTGCATACACATCCTAAGTTATCCAAATAACCCATGAACGTACTTTTTACAGTCACATAGAGTTATAGATAGAAATTATAGTCAACATAATTTCAAAGATGATGTAAGTGTTAATATATGTGTAACACGTGGGCACTGTAGTAGTAAGTAATTGCATATGAGTTTTGTTTATTAGATGTATCACACAGTGATGAAACAATATTATTTAATGGATGATGTTTCGAACATAATTCATTATTGTTCATGATCATATCAATTGTAATCACACGACTTTGAAACTTCAGTTTTATAGCTTTCTTCGTCCTGTCCTGTTTGGCGTTTTTTTTCCTTCACGTTCCCGGTGGAACCTAGGGCTCCAAGCTATGGGCTTGAAGATTCCGTAGCAGCGTTGATTTTTTACAGGATGGGGTTGCTAGCCTCATGCCCAACCTTTCCTCCTTACCAGTCTCACTACTGGCTTAGCGAGGTAAAGGTGTGCGCCGGCCGGGGATAGAACCCCGGACCTTCTGCATGGTCGGCGAGCGTCTTAACCGCTGTGCCACCGACGCACACCTGTTTGGCGTTGGGGTAGTTGAATTTTTCAGATGTCCTATAGGACAGGTGTTGAATCATTCCTATTACACGTATTCTTTCTCAGTTGATTCGATAAACAAATATTCTGTTATCAATCTCTCCCTCCACTCTGCTGGTAAATTGGATTTTAAAACTGTCATTCCATCCCATCCTGCATATTGTATGGCTGTGTGTAATTGCACGTGGTGTAATGCTACAGCTGGACTATTCTCTAGATTTCTCATCTTATTTGAGTCAACCAATCTAGATTTTGCTAGGTTTCGACTACTTTTGAGGTGCATTCCGAATGTCTAATTCAAGTTCAACATGATTTATCGACAAAGAGATGCAGTAACGATGGGGTCACTATTGGGTCCTTTACTTGCAGACTACTTCTTGGCTAGCTTAGAGAATAGTATTTTACGGCCTACTATCGACAGTTTCCATTTGTACGAAAGATACTTTCATCATATGTGACGACAATACTGACATTGAATTGATAACTAAGGAGTTCAACAGCTGCCATCAGGCCATCAAGTTCACGTCGGAATCAGAGATTAACTCGGAATCCCATTTTTTGGATGCTTTTCTAAAGAGGAGATCTGATGGTTCTCTTCAAAGATCGATCTACAGGAAGCCAACATGGAATGGTCAGTACACACATTTTCATAGCTGGGTCCCTTTGAGAAGAAAGAGAAATCTGATCCATTCCCTATCCTCAAGAATAAGGAAGTTAAGTGATACAATCGATGGGGAACTGCAGCATCTCAGACAAGTTTTCATAGAGAATGGATATCCTCGAAGATTTATCAAGAAAAACATGAAGTTAAGAGAAAAGCCTGAAAGATTCCAGACGGTGCTAAAGAAACTGCTTTTCATGAGTGTTGAATTTAAAGGTGATACCGCAGCCAAGATCCTGAAGAATCGCTTATGCAGATCACTGAGGAAAGCCTTCTTTATGGCTGAGCTAAGTATCAATTTCCATGGCCGACAAATGATCAATGGATGTGTGAAGGATAAGCTGCCGCTTTGGGCCACCTCAATGTGTGTGTATAAATTACCCTGCTCGTGTGGAGCTAGTTACGTCGGCCGCACAAAACGCACACTTTCCAAACAAGACATCTCTAAACATTATCCGGCATGGTTAGCAAAGGGACAATGCAAGACAATTACTAGCTCAATTCTCGAGCATTTGGTGAATTCAGGCCACGTAGCTCCACCAGAGTCGTCTTTCCACATCATCTACAAAGTGAAGCCAAATGGTGTAGAGGGCTTCAGGTTTCAGCTTTTGTGTATGGCGGAGGCGCTGACAATTCATCAATACAACCCTGAACTCTGTATACAGAAAAAGTTTGTCCATTCACTTATTCTACCTTGGTCTTAACCTCTTCACTAATTGTTCCCTGTAAAATAATTTTTGATTTCTTTTTGTTTTTAATTTTACTTTTAGTTTGCTTTTGCTTTAATAATTAATTCACTATTATCAATCTCATATGTTCCTTCTGCATATTTTCAACCTTGTTAAACTGACAGTCAACTACCATCTTTATTCTCACTCAATAGCAATTTTAACCTTATCAAACTTCTATCTTTGTGCCATTGAGTACAATGTAATTTACAACTTTTAATTTTCGCTTCTAACGCCACTTATAATTAATTATATCAATTATGTCACCCCCTATTACTCAATAGTAGACCACTATACACTTTTCTAAGTATAAATACGACTGTACAGCCTCTGAAGATGATTTTGTCGATTAAGAAAATTTTCTTTGCTGAATCTGTCTTTTATAGTCTAGATTTTGTTAGGTTTTTATGCTCGACTAGTGTGACTAACTGACCCTGATCTACTAGTTTGACCTGTGTATTTGACCTGACAGTCAGTGGAGTCATGGTATTAAATAAACTCCATTGTTTTGTTTTATTGATCCACAGAATTGATCCTTGAATCGACAAAACTTGTTTCTAATTGCGTTTGTGTGTGTGTGTGGATCCCAGCCACTTTCATTCCTGCCTTGTTAGAAATTCCCCTTAAGATTTCTGAGGATCCTTTCTTGTATAGAATTACTACTGATGATTTAGATTCCTTACTGTTGGTATTGTCGTTATCTTGTGCATGTTTGATTTGCACGCCGTCATTATTATTATTATTGTTATCACTATCACTACTATCATTATTTATTTTATGTTTACATTTCCCTACATATTTCCTGACTATTGTGTCAGGGTAATTATTAAGTTTCGCGACTTCTCTTATATGCCTCACTTCTTGTCTTAGATTTTCCTCGATACTACTTAGTTTTTGTGCTCTATCACTTAAACA